CTACTAATCCCCAGAACTTATGAATATGTTACATTACATGGCAAAAAGGACTTTGCAGATGTGATTAAGGTTAGAGACCTAGGGAATGGGATAATCCAATCTAGCATTTTGTGGGTAGACTCAGTCTAATCACAGGTCCTCATGAGTGAGGAACCTTGCCCAGATGTGGCCAGAAAGAGATGAGACAGTGGAAGAGTGGTCAGAGGGATGCAGTGTGAGGCCTCAGCTTGTCACTGCTGGCTGCAAAGAGGAAGGGTGTGACTATGAGCCAGGGAACGTGGGTAGCCCCTGCAAACTGGGGAAAGCCCTTACTTTACACTGCCAGTAAGAAAGCAGAGATCTGGGATCCACAACGGAAAAGGAAGTGAGTTCTGCCAACAACCTGAATAAATAGGAAATATACTTTCCCTTGGCATCCCCAGAAAGGAATACAGCTCTGCAGGCATCTTGATTTTTAGCCTCATGAGATTTGTATTGGACTCTGACCTGGAGAATTACAAGATAATGAATGTGTATCAATATAGTAAATTAGTAAAAACTAATATAGTCTGGCTTGCAAACTTAAAAATTAGGAGGCAGTATAGCACACTGGTTAAGAACATGGATTTGAAGGTCAATCTGCCCAGTTCTAATCCCAGATGTGCAGTTTACTAGATCCATGGCCATAGGCAAGGAATTTAACCTCAGTGTCTTAATTTTTTCATCAGGTACATGAATAATGTATAATAAAGCTACTCAAACTAGCTAAAGTAAAATAAAAGACTATTATAGAGACCTAATAATAATGTAATTTCCAAACCAAGACACTTACTTCTTTCTCATATCATAATGAAGGTGTCCCACCTGGCAAGAGCAGCTATTTTATACAAACCAGGTGGGCCATGGCTCCGCCTTTATAAATAGGTGACTTCCAAGGTTGCTCTAGCTCCCTAACTGTAGAAGTCCAGGGACAGAGATGTCCCCTTAAGAAAGTACAGTGGAAGTGCTATTCACTAGTTAATTTTTCCCCAAGTTCTTGGGGGGTTTGCTGTCATTCTAACAAGAGTGATCATTTACAAAATACATACTCCATTTTTCATATCCTCTATCTAATCCTTTTTTTTTTTTTTAAGTAAACTCTATCCCCAGTGTGGGGCTTCAACTCACAAACCTAAGGTCAAGAGTTGCATACTCCACCAACTGAGCCAGTCAGGCGCCCCTCCTCTATCTAATATATAAAATCAAGCATACTAGATAAGACTCTACCTATTTTACAAAGGCGCCTGGGTGGCTCAGTCAGTTAAGCATCCAACTTCAGTTCAGATCAGGATCTCATGGTTTGTGGGTTCAAGGGTGGAGCCTGCTTGGGATTCTCTCCCCACCGACCCACTCCTTCCATGTGCTCTCTTTCAAAATAAGTAAATAATTTAAAAAAACAAATAAGAAAAAACCAGGAGTCTGAAAGACCAAGTAACCTCTAATCCCATACCTTTTACACTTAACCAAAGTAGCTTTCTCATTCAAGTGATATTAACAAGCTAAAGAACAACATGACAATTTAAGAACAGAAATGATCAAGGAAACAATAAAATAAGCAGGCTACTAACCAGGGAGACAAGTGGAATGAACACTAGACCAGATAGAATTCCGGGTATTGGCGCTCTAGGGTCAGGCTGCCACTATCTGCCTGACTTGAGAAAATCCATTCTCCTCCCTGGGGCTCCATTTCTTCATCAGCAAAATAGAGTCCTACACCCAATGGTCTTTTGCCAGCTCTGACACTCTGTGATTCTATCTGGAAAATAGTGAAGCCAAAAATATGTGAGCAGGGGAAAATGATACGATTTTAAAAATTGCTCCAATTAAGGAAATAGCAAGAGTGGAGAAAGTCCCGGGACCGAAACAAGGAAACCAGATGAGCCTCCCACAGGGCTCACAAGACAAGCCGTGACCTGTTTGGTGAGCCACACCTGCTCCTCACATTCCTTCCGAGGACAGTCCCAGGTCTGTGCACACAGCAGTGAAAAGGAGTTCTGAGGGGAACTCCTGGAGGTAGAGACTAAACCCTTGCATATAGCTAGTTCTAGATAATCCCGCCCTCTGCAGATGCAAGCTGAGTTTCAAAACCTAGGTGTGAGGGGTTCTTCCTTGATACAAGCAAAGAAGAAGCGTGTCTCAACCCGCTTGGTGCATAGCAACCTGGGCAAGGAAGCCAAAGACAAAGGTTCTCATCCCTGGCTTTGGCACAGGGGGGATGTGTGATTCTGAACTACCCAAGCTCTTTAGACCTTGGTTTTCTGACATGTGAAATGGATCAGATCTATAAGAGAGGAGCAAATTTAAGATACCCTGAACTCTAGGTGCCAAGATTGTTCCAGGCACTATTATCAATTACTTCCTTTAATCTTTGCATTGATGAAAGAGGTCTACAGTCTCACCCAACAGACAGGGAAACTGAAGGAGGTAAGGGACTTACCTGCCTGGTGGAGAAGGATTTGAACTCAGGTTTGTCATCACTTGGATTATTTCCAGGAAGCCAGTGTCTCAAAGATGATTCATGTACAAAGTGCTTTTGTGAAGTATTAAGTGCAACAGTGCAAAGACTCTTAGTCTTGAATTAATGTAGAAATTTAGAAATTATCCAGAAGGGATAGTCTATGAAGAAATTGGCATTTTCAGGGCTTTTTCCTTTGTTTAGCCTCCACTCAACCCTAAATCTGTTTATTTTGTAGGCAGTCAAGTGAGTTTTTTGAAGCGATTCTTGAAACAATGGCAGTTTGGTGTAGTAAAAGGAATACTGGACTAGGGAATGAGAGACTGTCTAGTTTCCAGCTGTGCCACGGAAACATTCATCTCAAGAAGTCAGTCGCCTGTTCCATTTGTAAAATGAGGGGCTAGGTTTGAGGTCATGGCCAACCTCTTTGAGCTAAGGCTATTCGATGACTCCGGGAAGCTGAATGAGTGGAGTCTCACACTCACAGTTCCCATTCTGGCCTTGGGCCCTTCCACTTTCAGGAAGCCATCGTCTCCCCTCCTCTTAAGCTTCATCTGAACCAGAGAGGACTTTGGCAGGGGGCGGGGGGGGGGGTGGCCCCTGCTAGGGAATGTCGCCCTAGCAGGTGTGCTTACAGACTTAGGGATCCGCCAGCCACAGCCCCAAGCTGGGAAGGACGCAGCTGAAAGATACCTCCCTCGATTCTTACCGGTGTTTCTACCTTTGTGGGGTAGGCCTAAACCACAGAGCAGGCGTGAGAGGAGGCACCAGAGATGGGTTCCAGGGGAAGAAACTGAGGTCCTGGGTTTACCTATTTGCTGTCAGGTGTAGCAACCACTCCCTCCCTTGTGCACACCCACGGTTGCTCCAATTTCCCAGTAAATGCCCTAACTTGTTTACCTCTAAGCTACCCGACAGTGGCCTTCTAACACACTCCACGTCACATAAATGAATGCAAAGGAGCGAAAAACAGGAAATAAGCATGAAGGAGGCAGGCTGCCAGTTTTTACAGCTAATAGGAAGCAGAAGTTTTTAAAAGTGTGTTACTGATGAAATTTTAGGAAAACAACCTGGGTGTGTGCCACCCCCGCACTTCCCCAGCCAGAGAGAGCGGAGGGCCCACTACAGACTACCTGTAACTACATGGAAGCGTCCTTTAACCCGTCTGGGAGCCACACTACTTGGCAATGAAGTAAACTGCCAGGGGCTAAATGGACATAATACCACTACTTCGAAGCAGGGCTGGCATTCAAAGGCACTACTTGCATTTCTTTCTCCACTGGAGACTCTTTAGAGAACCTAAAGCTGGTTCCCTTTCCCTACAACAGCAGCTAGTTTCAGCCTCCTCCTTCAGACCCACCCTCATGCAGTCTGAGGGAGGCTTCCGAACAATCTCACTTAGAAAAGCCAGTATTTATACCAGCCTGTTCATGCCTATGAGGAAACACCAGAGCAGTAAAATGAAATGCCCGCTCCTGAAAAAAAAGAAAGACAGACAGACAGAAAGAAGAGAAGAGAAGAGAAGAGAAGAGAAAAGAAAAGAAAAGAAAAGAAAAGAAAAGAAAAGAAAAGAAAAGAAAAGAAAAGGGGGCGCCTGGGTGGCTTAGTCGGTTAAGCGTCCGACTTTCGCTTAGGTCATGATCTCGCGGTTCATGGGTTCGAGCCCCGCGTCGGGCTCTGTGCTGACTGCCAGCTCAGAGCCTGGAGCCTGTTTCAGATTCTCTGTCTCTCTCTCTCTGCCCCTCCCCTGCTCACGCTCTCTCTCTCTCTCTCCTAGAAATAAATAAAAAATATTTAAAAAAAGAAAAGAAAAGAGTTAGAATTTGAAATAAGAAATCAGAGCCCAGGGAAATGAGGGGACCTGAAAATGATATAAATCTGGAGCGAGTTTCCACAAACTCCATCTTTTGGTTTCTGCCTTTTCCATATTTTATTACATTCGTGTTTAAAAAAAAAAAATCACATCCGCTTATCAACGACAAAATATGTACAAACATTTTACAAAAGAAACATTACTAATATCAGCTCTGATCGGGGCGCGCTGAAGAACAGACGCGGAGTTTCGAGGGCAGAGCCCGCCCCCAAACAAAGACATCTCAAATGTGTTCAGGCAGCTGAGACCGGCTTCCTTCCCGGTGACAAGCACACGTGGTCGCTAACACAGACGACAGCAAATGAGGACGCTGTACCGGCCCAGTGGGCGAACTCCTTTTCTCACCAGTAAGGCCACGACACAAGTGGAGCTAATCAAATAACTTAACCCAGGACAGTAAAAGCGCCGTTCCCCCCACCGAAGCGCATTTAAGCCTTCACCGTCGATTGCAAACGACGCTGGATGGTAACAGAGACACGTGGTTCCTAGAACCCTGCGCCAAACTTCCCGTCCCTCTCCGAGCCAGGTTTCTTGTTGGACTGAACGGGGTGGAAGTTTGGAAATGCTTCGTCTGAAGGCAGAAGTCAGAAAGAGGTGAGTCCAGAATCTGTTAAACTCGATGGGGTGGGAAGAGGCAGGAATTGGAAAAGACCAATGTCTCCTTTGGGCCGCGAGTCGAGAAGCACGGCTCACTTCGGTCTGGGTACCCTGCCCTCCCACCCCCACCCCTGCCCCGCCGGTACCTACAAGCTCGGTTCCTTTCTCAAGTCCCCCAGTTCCTTGACCTCCACCTTCCTGTACTTCCCCGACCTCCTCCGGTTGGTGATCACCAGGACAGCCACGCCGGCGACGAGGGCCACCACGACCACCACGATGACGGCGACGAGGCCGGCCGTGAGGCGCTTCATGGAGAACTCGGGGGGCTTCTCGTCCAGGTAGTAGATGAGCGTCCGCTCCACCAGGAGGGGCTCGCCGCGCACGCGCACGTCGAGGCCGCCGCGGCCCGGGAACAGCGACTCGCCCTTGACGTCCCTCTCGAAGTAGTAGGCGGCGTCGGCGATGTCCACGTCTCCGGGGGCCTTCTCGGACGCGTTCTGCCGCAGCTCGATCTGGATGGTGGGCCGCTCGTAGTGCACGGCTGCCACGAACCTGGGGTGTAGCCGGTAGCGCTCGCGGAAGAGCCGCCGCAGCTCGGCGTCCAGGTCCGAGTGGTTGAAGGCGCGGGCGGCCGGGCGGTGGCGCAAGTCGATGAGGATGTGGTGGGTGCGCACGAGCTCGTCGCAGCGCAGGCTCTGGTCGCCCTTGTCGGTGCGGCGCATGCCCACCGAGTTCACGCACCAGCACACCGACGTCTGGTTGCACTGGCGGGCCTTGAAGCGGCCCTCGTGGTCGCAGTCGGGGTCGTACAGGCCGTCGTTGTCCACGAGCGCGTGCTCGCTGGGCCGCACGAGCGCGCGGCCGCTCTTGGGGGCGCTCATGCGCGCCTTGAGCAGCAGGCACTTGGAGGTCAGCGTGGAGCAGTCCACCGGGAAGCCGGAGCCCAGCGCGCGGCACTGGCAGCGGCCGCCGGGGCCGTCCGCGCGGCACAGGGTCATCTTGTTGGTGGGGCACGTGCAGTTGTCCTGCGCGGCCGCAGGGCCGGTCGCCGCCGCCAGGAGCAGCAGCAGCAGCAGCGGCAGCTGGGGCGACGGCGGCGCGGGGCCCGGCTCCCGGGCCATGGTGGGGACGCGGCGCGCGGACGGGACGCGGGCGGACCAGGCGCTGGGGACTCTGCGAAGCTCCGGCTCCGCGCGGGGACAGTCTCCGGGCATCTGCCGCGGGCCGCTCCCTCCCGCTCTTATACTCCGCCCGACCTGCCCGGCTGGTTCGGCCGACTCACCCTCTGGTATTTGGGTGACACATCCCGCCCCCCGTCACCGTCCCACGGAAGGCACAGCCCGCCCTGCGCCGCCCGCGATAGGATCAGGGGAGCGGTGGCTGCTCCCGCCTCCTCCGGACCGAAAGCCCGGGAGAAGAAAACCGATACTCACCTGCGGGCTGCGGGGGCCCCGCCCCCGGCCCGCCCGGTCCCCTCTGGGGAGGGGCCGCGGTCCGCGCCGACCTCCGAGGGCGTCCTGGCTGCCCTCCTGGACGCGAATTCCTAGGAATTTCATTGAAAAGTAGGGCGCGCCAGATCGTCTCGCTTTCGCCCCCTACCCGCTTCCCCTTCTCGCTCCGTTTCCCACCCCCATCGCTACCCTACAGCCAGGCCTTGCAGTAGCAGTCGCTGCATAGTTCACAGCTCTCACGCATTATCTCATCCTCTCCTCGGCCCTGACGGGTATTATACACAGTGTTTCAGAGCCATTTCTTAAGCGATGCAATTGAGGCCGCGACGTAAAGTCACTCAGCCGTCAATATCCCCAGATTCTTCCTTCGGAGGGGTCTGTGGTTATTCTGCCTGGCAGTTATGATACCTTACATCAGTGTGTATGGAAGCTGAAAGTTAGGGAGCAGTTTTTGTTACTCACCATATCATGAGTAACACCCGGGTGCCCTGGTGTCCAATGCGTCAGAAGTTCTGTTAAACACCTTTTTCCTCTATACACACACACACACACACACACACACACACACACAGAAACAAATAATACTTCTACATGAACTCAGTCTCGGCAGACAAAAAGGAACTCGTTCTTAAAAAGAACAAGCAAGACTGTAAGGGGTTCTTTGTACAACTTGATTCTAAAAGAATCAGTCGTTGCTTTTCTTTTTCTGTGTCCCGTGTAAGTAGCCGAACCACTGCAAATGAGGAAAGAATGGAGACTGTGGGAAACTGCTGGTCCGCCTCTGTGTGGCTACTTTAATGGGATGGAGGGGTTGCAATCTCTTTCTTGAATCATTGAGAAAGTCCGGGGTTTCAAAGCTGTGGTAAAATTAACAATAATTAGCAAGCTGTAATTATTCCCAGCTCCTCCGTTCAAAGCCCATTTTATGTGTTCAGCATTTAATGAACACCAGCAGCAGCACAAGGGTGTTGTTTAGCACATGAAAGCCGGCAAGGCCTCTGCCCCATTAATTTTCAGCAATTCCTGAGGCGGGCAGGTGGAAATACATCATTCTGCATTTACAGGTAGAGAAAGCAGAGTCACGTGAGGGGCAATTTCTTACCCACAAGCACCAGGCATTGTGGGAATGCTCATTGGCTCTCTACCCAGACTGTCTCTGTTTCTCTGGTTAGGTTCTTCCTTCTTCCCTTCCTTCCTCTCCTTCCCCTCCTTTCTTTCTTTCTTTCTCTTCCTTCCTTCCTTCCTTCCTTCCTTCCTTCCTTCCTTCCTTCCTTCCTTCCTTCCTTCCTTTCTTTCTTTCATGAGCAGGGGAGGGGCAGAGAGAGAGAGGATCCCAAGCAGGCTCTGCACTGCCAGCACAGAGCCCCACCAGGACTCCATCCCACCAACTGTGAGATTATGACCTGAGCTGAAATCAAGAGTTGATCGCTTAACCAAGTGAGCCACCCAGGCATCCCTAGAATATATACTTTTTAAGTAGCAAACAAGATCATATATGACTTGGGCAGGCTACTTCTCTATGCCTTAATTTCCTCATCTGTAAAATGGGGATAATAAAAGTACCTACCTAACAAGGTAGATGTGAGAATTAATGTAGATAAACTGCTCAGAAGAGTATCTGTTATAACAGTATCTGCCCTTGTAAGCATGGATAGGTATCAGCGGCTGTCATGGCCACCACCACCACCACCATCATCATCATCTTCATCTTGATTCTGCTAGTGTCTCCAGTCTTCTTCACATTTTCAAGCATTTATAAAGTCATATACCAGTAGTCTCCCTTCATCTCTTTAGTGCATAATTGTGTGTTTCTACTGAGCCCTTGGATCACCTCCAGGAAGCGTCCCCCTATAGACCCTGTCTGTCGGACTCAGGGGAGTGCTCCCTCTCTGTGCTTTCCTAAACCCTGTAGCATACCAGAGCAGCAACACTAACTTTTCTGGGCTTCTATCTGCCCATGTGTAAAAGAGAGATAACAGCATCTCTTTATTTCATGAACCATTCTAACAACCAAATCTAAAATAGATGAGACGGTACGTATCAAAATTTTATACACTATACGGCACTGTAAAAATGTCAGGTTGCATTTTAATTTTTTTAATATCCCATCTTTTTACTTTTCCACCTCCTGACTAGGTAACAACAATCCTCTACACGGAGCAGAGCTGCCTGCTTTTCAGTGCTTCCCAGGCAGGAGAAAAGCTAATGGGGAATGGTTCTCAGGGCCGAGCAATGTCCACAATGGTGTCTTTGACTGCTTAGCTAGATCAGCCCCAAATGGCTGGACCTTGCTCAGGCTAGAGCTCTGAGGTCTCCAAACCGTGGCTTTTTCATCCATGGTAAGTGTGTGGAGGACAAGGATCCAAGGAGCCCATTCTCAGTATCCTTTGTGGAAGATGGAGGGACCCCCCCCCACCTTTCTTAAATTTTATGGTCTGCCAGGCTTTCCCCAACAGGCACACAAACCCTATGATGAGTAATGTTTTCTGTTATTGTTTCAATGTGTTTTTATTTTTCTTTTGTTCATTTTAGAGAGAGCGCACAAGTAGGGAAGAGGGGTAGAGGGGCAGAGGGAGAGGGAAAGAGAAAATCTTAAGCAGGCTCCAGGCACAGCACGGAGTCTGATGTGGGGCTTGATCCCATGACCCCGGGATCATGACCTGATCCAAAATCAAAAGTCAAACAGCTGAGCCACCCAGGTGCCCCTTGTGTTTATTTATTTATTTTTAAAAGATTCTTTTGGTAGTTAGTTGGAAAATATTTTATTTTATTTTTTAAGTAAGCTCTACACCCAACATAAGGCTTGAACTTACAACCCCAAGATCAAAAGTCACATGCTTTACTGACTGAGTCAGCCAGGCACCCCTATGATGAGCTTATTAAGTAAGCACAGCCTCAGCTCTGATTCTCCCTTCTCTTTTATCTCTTTCCTGCCTAGGTCTGCAAAATATCACGTGCTTTAGCTCTTTGTATTTGTTTAAATTTTAATTTTCAAGTATTTAACTAAAGCATTGTCAAATGAACCTTATCTGAGCACTACAGCCCCAGCACCAGCATATATTAGGGGCTCAGTAATGTTTATTGGGTTAGTTAACATTGGGTTGTTCCCAGAATGTTACAGTATCAATATACATTCCTAGGAGTGTTCACTGTGACCATTTCAATTCTCTGCTAGCCTATTTCTCACTGCCTACTCTAGCCATGAACCTCGATCCTCACCCTAATCCAAACTTTGAACAACCAGTTTCAAGGAAGACTGAGTAATGATGAACTGTTACTTTTGCTTTGATGCATGATCCCAAACTTTCATCAGACTGTGGCTATAGGGAATGGGGATACAGTGTGACTAGTCTATGAGCAGGCAAGGATGCTGGAGGAAAGCAGTCCAGGGAGGCTGAAGGAAAATCACTTTGGATCTAGTGAGAGTTAGGCTCAAATCCTGGCTTCACATAACTCACTGGCTGTGTGATTTTATACAAGTCACTTCACCCCTCTGAGCCTCAATCTCCTTAATTATAAAATTTCATGTCTACACCTTAAAACGTAATGTCTACATCTCCCCAACATCTGTGAAAAGGATAATTTCCCACCTTGTTATTATGAACGTGCTTTTCCTCAGTTGAACTTCCTACTTCTCATATTCTTACGCTCAGTTTTCTAAACTGGTGTTGACTATCTGACTTTCCTTGGTATGAGACCGATACCAGCTCATCAGTTTTATATTTAAGGATGTGATTTATAAAAACAAAACACAAGAACAAAACCCTAGTTGATTAGTAAAAAAAATACTTACCATCTATAATTATTTTAATAATTCAAGATAAAGAATACAAAATACCCAACACAGTGTTTGCCATATGGTAAGTAGAATTAACCTGAGCTGTTATTATCAGCTGTCTCAGGGGTGTGAGGATGCTTTGAGATCATTAAAGGTTTCTGCACAAAGCTGGTGACTATGGGGGTTGATGGAGATCAGGCCCAAGGAGCTGTTAGAGAGGAGAGCTGCCCCAGGGCCCTATGTCCACCTGGCCCTGTATTTTACAGATGTGGAAACAGAGACCTTGGGAGGAGAGGAGAAGGACTTGATCACAGTCATATGCTTGTGCATGGTGAGACCTGGCCTAGAATCTGGGTCTCCTGACAGCACACGTACATACAAATTAGCAAAGACAGAAGAGGACCGAAGGGGTCAAGAGGAAAGAGTCTGATCTTATTTTTCCTCGGATCTTCTTTTCTTTTTCTTTCTTACCCTTACTTAGAAAGTTCTGGTTTTGCAAAAGGCAAAAAAATAAATAAATAGCTACTTGTGTAGGGCACAGCAGAGGGCCCACACCTGAAACCCTAGGACTTATGCCATTAACTACCACTTCCTCCCACACTAGAGTGGAAGTGTTCCTTGCTGTCTGCGTTGCTGCGATGAAACAGCCTGTGTTTGAATTCTGCCCTGCCAAGCCACGGGCAGGTCTTTCTGCTCAGTTTCCTGTTTTGTAGAGCAGAGATGATGTTGCTTCTTAGAGACATGGTGGGGATGCCATGGTGTGACATCTGCGAAGCTGCCTGGGCCAGGTTGGGAAGATGCCTCACTCCTCTTCTTGGCCTGACCATACATAGTCAGCTCTGGCCTCTATCAGGCGCAGCCACTGAGACAACGGGTGATGCAAGAAGTCTAGTCAGGGTTTCCCTTCCTTATCAGAGACAGCTTGGAGCCCTAGGGGAAGCAGGTGATCCTTCAGCCCAAGTGCAGAAAATACAGAGAAGTGGGCTGCAGTGCTTGTTAGCTCAGGATGGAGGAAGGAGGCCCCAAGAAACCATGGAAAGAGTGGGAAG